TCTTAAATCTTAAGATGGAATACAGGACCCCCTTTTGACCTGCCCTATCTCCATGATCTCATCCTTTGCCTTGTTACTTTTCCTACTTAGGCTCCCAACTTCTGGAAGTTCCTGGTATAAACCATGTTGTTCCCATCTTTTATGCTTTTTCCTTATTTCTGTCTTTTCTTTCTGGAATGCCTCTCCTTTAATCTTTTTCTGCAGTGCTTTCCCTTAAACTAACTTGACATTTTGAAACCAACTATTAAATCAACCCCGTGGTTACCTCTGCAAAGCCTTCTCTGACTCACTACGCCAGCCAGGTTAGGACCGACCCTTCTTTCATCATTGAAGACTCTGTGTACTTTTTTTTGAATTAATTTTGCAATGTTGTACTGGCAACAGCTGTTTTAAGGGATCCAGGTTCACCATTCTCTTTTTCTAAAATTGCAATTTTTATAATACTTTGATTTCATTTACTCTGAAATTTTGAACTCAAGCAGTTTGGAGCAGGGCTGTGTGTGATTACCAGAAGCTTGAATCATGAAATATCAATATTGATAGGGGGCTTTTAAAGATAATTTTGTTCATCACAAAGGTTTTGTTTATTTTACATTTATTTAGTATATTTGAGGAGGGTTCTATTTATCAAAATGGCAATATCCCAACATATTTTGGGAATACAAAATTCTAGTACATGATGGAGAAATTAACAGTAAAGGGTAGATGAAGTCTCCAAGGGAAAGAGTTTAGACAGAAAACAAAGGACAGACACACTCATCATTAGACCATACCTACCTTCAGAAAACATGAAGCGATTAAGAGATACCAGTTCAGAAGACAGAAGATTTGCAGAAGGAGAACCAGTGTACTGTTATAAAAACCAGAGAAAGGAGTGTTTTAAGAAGAAAGGAGTGACTGTGGGGCCAGTAGTCCAAGAAGCTCAGACAGCAGTGGTCCCATAAAGTTCCTTTTGGATGCAATGTCTACTCCTAGGAAACAGTATCCACTGAGGAAGAATATGAGCCTCCAAGAAATCAGACTGGACAAATTTACGGAAACTCCAGTCTCTCCACCCAGAACCTAAACCCAAGTAGTTCTTGCCATTTTTGGGGACTCAGAAACTTGTGGCAATCGTCAAAAATCTATGGACTCTGTCCTCAGAAAAATGCGTATAAGTGCATATACACATAACAATTTCACATACGATTTCTCATAGTTCATTCTACTATCCACCCCAAACCATCTCTACTCAAGCTTCTACATTGACCCCCACATTAGCACACATTGTTCTACTGTCAGTACCAAAGCTTGCTTCAGTGATGAGGACAGGTGATCTCCTTGAGGATTAAGAACTATTTCTTCCTGCTCAAATCTTAGGTGGACTAAACCTGTAGAGGCCTTAGTAATTCTCTGTAGAGCTTTACTCAGCGCTAGACTGAGTAGATATATTCCCAAGTGTTCCCAAGACTGCCCAGTCTGCAGACTGAACATTTCCCTAGATTCCTGTCTGTTGAGTAACCACATCACTCAGACTTGATAACCACTGTGCTTCGTTGTGACTCGGCTTCTGAAAAGGCTTCTTTCCAAATTTTAACCAGGACCGTAACTTACCTCACGTCCACCTGTCTGCCTTCTGCCTTCCACGTCTTTTAAATGACTCATCCTCATTTATTCCTCTTTCAAATTATAGAATTTAGAGAGGCAATAAAAATATTCTGGTTTGCAGAAATAGAAAAATGGTTGTTTAAATTTTTATGGGAAAGGGAGCAGAGTTACAGCCAAACTTTGTCAATCTCAGCCCAGTAGAATTTCAGTGGCATGGAAAATTCAAAGCATTGGACAATTCTTTTTTTTTTTTAAGCTTTATTTTTATTTATTTATTTATTTATTTATCTATTTATTTTTCCTTTATAGTTTATTGTTAGGTTGGTTTCCATATAACACCCAGTGCTCATCCCCACAAGTACCCTCCTCTGTGCCCATCACCCCTTTTCCCCTCTCCCCAACCCCCATCAATCAGTATTTAAGAGTCATATGGTTTGTCTCCCTCCCACTCCTTAACTATTTCTCCCCTTCCCCTCCCCCTTGGTCCTCTGTTAAGTTTCTTCTATTCCACATATGAGTGAAAACATATGGTATCTGTCCTCTGCCTGACTTATTTCACTTAGCATAACACCTTCGAGTTCCATCCACATTGCTATACGTGGCCAGATTTCATTCTTTCTCATTGCCATGTAGTATTCAATTGTATAGATAAACCACATCTTCTTGATCCATTCGTCAGTTGATGGACATTTAGGCTCTTTCCATGATTTGGCTATTGTTGAGAGTGCTGCTATGAACATGTGCCCCTATGCATCAGCACTCCTGTATCCCTTGGGTAAATTCCTAGCAGTGCTATTGCTGGGTCATAAAGGAGTTCTATTGTTAATTTTTTGAGGAACCTCCACACTGTTTTCCAGAGGGGCTGCACCAGTTTACATTCCCACCAACAGTGTAGAAGGGTGCCCATTTCTCCACATCCTCGCCAGCATCTGTAGTCTCCTGATTTGTTCATTTTAGCCACTCTCACCAGCGTGAGGTGGTATCTCAGTGTGGTTTTGATTTGTATTTCCCTGATGAGGAGGGACGCTGATCATCATTTCATGTGTCTGTTGGCCATCTGGATGCCCTCTTTGGAGAAGTATCTGTTCATGTCTTCTGCCCATTTCTTCACTGGATTATTTGTTTTTTGGGTGTGGAGTTTGGTGAGTTCCTTATAGATTTTGGATATTAGCCTTTATCTGATATGTCATTTGCAACTAAAATTTTCCATTCTGTCAGTTGCCTATTAGTTTCCTTGATTGTTTCCTTTGCCATGCAGAAGATTTTTATCTTGACAAGGTCCCAATAGTTCATTTTTGCACTTGATTCCCTTGCCTGTACAATTCTTAAATATACTAAATTTGTGATTTCTATTGTGAAGTTATTCTGTCCTTCTGATTCTCTTAGGAATATTTTCCCAATAACTAGATGGAGAATGAAAGTGGACATGTTGGGAAACTGCCCTGGGACACAACATGTACTTTGGTCCATGCATGTTGTTAGTAATAAGAACCGGATTTTTCTTCAAGAGAGAATTTTAGAGTTTGATAAATAATAGCGATTTCTGGGCTGCCTGGGTGGCTCAGTCAGTCGAGTGTCTGACTTTAGTTCAGGTCATGATCTCACAGCTTGTGGGTTTGAGCCTGCATAGGGCTCTGTGCTGACTGCTGGGAGCCAAAGCCTGCTTTGGATTCTGTGTCTCTCTCTCTCTCTCTGCCCCTTTCACAACTTACACTCTGTCTCTCTCTCTCAAAATATAAATAAACATAAAAAAATAATAGTGATTTCTTAAAGGGGGAAACAAAGGGCACCTGGGTGGTTCAGTTGGTTAATTGTCCAACTTCAGCTCCAGTAATCATCTCATGGTTCATGAGTTTGAGCCATGCATCAGGCTCTGTGCTGATAGCTCAGAGCCTGGAGTCTGCTTCAGATTCTGTGTCTCCCTCTGTCTTTGCTCCACTCTCACTCACACTCTCTCTTTCTCTCTCTCTCTCTCAAAAATAAATAAACATTAAAAAATAAAAAAAAAAATAAAGTGGAACATGAGCTTTGGGTAAAAAAAAGTAAAAATGTGAGTATGAAAAAATATTAGTCTAGAAATGATTATTTTAGTCACTTGTATGTTTCATTTTTAAAGGGGTATGAGTCTGCATAAAGAATTAAAACTGCCACTGCTGCAACACAATGAGATTTTTAGGGTGATCACTCTGAGCTATCTGGTCCTGTGGTGTTGGATTACAAAACTCTATACATTTTTCAAAACTTAGAGAATTGTATACCATGAGAATAACTTTTACTGTCTGCAAAACACAAAACAGCCCGGATGTCGGGGGGATTCAGGATGGAATGCAGACTGTGACAAATGAATCTAACTATATTATAAATATAGGGCATAGTCTCCCTGAAGGGTGTGGGAAAGAAAGGAGTTGACCCAAATAATTCAGGAAAATCGTGTTTTGCCTAGATTCTGTAAGGATAGAGGCAAAAAGAACTGTACAAAAACACTGGTAAATTTGTTTCTCTCAGGGGGTACAGTTCAGCAACTCTGACACCATTTTACATGTTTGCTAGGGTGAACAAATAAGTAAAATATATTTTAGATGTTAAGAATCGAGTGGCAGGTTATTTACTGCTAGAGAATGAAAGTGACAAATCCGTGGGATGGGACAGGGGTTAGGGTTTCCCATAGGAACAGGTCAGTACAGATATAATAACAGATATGTGTGTTTACAGTGGCTACTGTGGTGCACAGATTTCCCAGCTCTGTTCCTTGGGAGGGTTGAGAAGTAATGGCATACCCATGATCTTGTTTTCTTAGTGCTAGTCTTCAATAAAAGGAGCCAGGATTCTTTGGAGAAATGGTTGATGGTTTTTTAGGACTGGGGCAGGAAAGATAGAAGATGAGCCTGGAGTGTCTTATAGTATCACAAAGTAAGGGAGTGAGGAGGAGGTGAGGGCTTATCAGAAGGACACAGGCCAACCAGAAGGCGTTGCTGATGGCCAAAGCTGGAATAATTTGAGTAACAAATGACAGTCATTGGATTATCTACAAAATAAAACAAATATCCATAGATTCGTGTCCGTAATAGTCTGAATAAATAAGTAAATAAATAAATGTGCTAAATGTGCAGGATGGGGAGGGCAAATATTATCTACAAGGAATGAGAGAAACAGAAATCAACAGAAATCGCCATTAGAACACCATCGTGGTAAGTGCTGCAGCCAAGATCCCCAATGAATGCCAAAGTAAGCCAAAAAGCTTTAAGAGAAGCCAGGATATTGGCATAGTTTCAAACTATCTCCCCGCCAAAGAGTCATTCCCTGCTGTAGTGGTTTTCATATAGTTTTAAATATTTTGTTTAAATGTTCCCGGGGAGGTGGAGATTAATTCCTCTCCCAATGACTGTGGGCTGTTCTTCGTGTCTCACTTCTAGGGAAGAGACTATAGAGAAAACTGGTAGACAGCACCTGAACCAAGTGGTCACGGTTAATATTACAGATTGATACGGACTCCCTGGTATGATGCAGCGGGAACTGCAGCCTCACCTCTGTGGGAGTCTTCCCTCCGACCCATAACCTCAGTCTAATCATGAGAAAACACCAGACAAGCCTGAATGGAAAGTCATGATACAAAAAAAACCGAATCACTCCTCTTCAAAACAGTCTAAGCTATAAAAGAAAAGGAAAGACTGAGAAACCATCACAGATTGAACCTAGGGAAAGAAACCAAATGCAACGAGGTATCCTGGATTGGACCCTGCAAGAGAAACCTGAATAAAATCTACAGTGTGGTTAATAGTATTGTACCAGTGTTAATTTCTTATTTTTGATACATGTACCATGCTTATACAAATGTTTATAAATGGTTGTGTAAATATACTAGAGTTATATCTAAGCGAGTGAAAGGGTGAAAGGTATATGGAAACTCTTGATACTATATTTTCTTTTTACTTTTTTTGTAATTCTAAAGTTATTTTAATATAAAAAGTGAAAAAAATATATGCTGGTCCTAAAAATTCATACTTGTAAATTCAGAGGTGTTAGGTTTTTTGTTTATTTTTATAACTATTTTATATTTTGTTATTTTTCTATTTTAACATGATAACTTGTCATTTGGTAGAAGAGTATTTAAACATAGTTATTAGTATCTAGAATTTATTTAAAGTAAGGGCTTTATCCCACTTTACTTTAGGTCTTAAAAACAGAACTAAAGTCAAAATGAATAATGATCAAGACTAAGGCAAGTTAGGTTATGAATGTGCAGAGACAGCTACATTTCATTCAGTATAAAGATTTTTGCTGAGCAGAGAAGAACTTGTGTTTGGAATATTTCCAACAGAGTATCATCCACAGATAAAAAGCATAATTTCAAATTAAATACATGAAAGGAAACTGTAATTTCATGGTGTCATTTGGGGAGAGGAACAACCTATTTTTTGTCATAGTGTCTTGTATTTTTTTTTTAATGTTTATTTATTTATTTTTTAGAGTGAGAGAGAGAGAGAGAGAGCACAAGCAGAGAGAAAGCGGGAGACACAGAATCCAAAGCAGGGTCCAGACTCTCAGCTATCAGCACAGAGCCTCATGTGTGGCTCAAACCCATGAACCATAAGATCATGACCTGAGCAGAAGTTTGATGGTTAACCGACTAAGCCACCCAGGTACCCCTAGTGTTTTCTATTTTTTAAAAAAAGTGTCTATATAATATATATTTTTAGGTCAACCGAATTGTTCTTTTGATTGACCCATCTGTAGTGATTTGAAATCATGAAACAATATAGTGAGCTTATAGACTATTGAAAACATTCTCATTTAAGTTGGAATGGGCTTTGCCAGAATTTACAAATTGGTGGTCTATGAGCTGCATTTAGCCCTTGGATATACTTTCATTGGCTGCCATAGTTTAAATTTTTTTAATTAGTTGCCAGTATTTAAAAAATAGCGAATTTTACACAAAAACCTGAGTCTTCATTCTCTCTCAAACGATAAGATCCGGCAACACAGAGCATCCATTCTGACACGTCAGGACTGGCTGATGGATGCCTCTTATATATGAGATCTGCCCTTTACAGTTTGCCACACTTCCTTTGTTGTTGTTGTATATCGATTTTTAAAAACTGGAGGTGAAATTCACATAAGAATTAACTATTTCAAAGTGAAAAATTCACTGGCATTTAGTATGTGCACAATGTTATGCAACCATTGACCCTAGTTCTGAAACTTTCGTCCCTCCAAAATAAACTCTGTTCTAATTAAGTGATCACTCCCCATTGCTCCCTTCCGGCAGCCCCTGGCACCCACCTAACTGCTCTTTGTCTCTTTGGATTTAGCTGATCTGGATATTTCATATAAATGGAATCATACAATGCGACCTTTTGTGTCTGGCTTCTTTCAGCATAATGTTTTCAAGGTTCATCAGTGTTACAACATTTATCAGTACTCCTTTTATGGCTAAAAAATATTCCACTATTATGGATATACCCATTTTGTTTATCCATTCATAGGACAATTGCTTGTTTCTACCTTTTTTTTTTAAGTTTATATATTTATTGTGAGAGACAGATAGAGAGTGAGTGGGGGAGAGACAGAGAAAGAGGGAGAGAGAGAATCTTAAACAGGCTCTGTGCTGTCAGCACAGAGCCCTGTGCAGGGCTTGAACTTACAAAATGCAAGATCATGACCTGAGGTGAAACCAAGAGTCGGACACTTAACCGACTGAGCTACCCAGGCACACCGGCTGTTTCTACATTTTGAATATTATGAATAGTACTGCCATCAACATCTGTGTGCAAGGTTTTGTTTGAATAAATATAATTTTAATACTTTTATGGATATTAACGTTGTTTTGGCCACCTTCTTGACACTGACAATTGCCTCCCACCCTGGCCTGTTTTATTCACTTGCTTTTTCATCCTGTTTCCATTGCCGTTTTATATTTATACATTCTGGTATGTAATGGGGGTGATGCATTTCCTCCATCCTTGTACTTTATTCCAGTCCAAAACTTGAACTAATTAACGAAAACCTTTCTTCATTTTCTTAAAAAATATACCTTTACACTAGATTTCTTTGTCTTTTCTTCCTCAAGTTTGGTCATTGTCTATAAGTACTGATTGTAGATGAGGATTGTTCTATGTTCTTCCATTTCTCACATTAAAAAATTGGATAGTTTTAGAAGATCTAAACTTGGGGATAGAGTTCTGCCCCGTTTATAGTAAGCAGTGCCTTTATGTATGCATCTGGGTTTAATTATAGTTGGCATCTCTGAACTCTGAAGGAAAATATGCATTGCTGACATGTCATGTGTTTCTAGCAGTCTAAGAGTATAATCACTCAAATGTAAAGTCACTCCTCTGGCTTTCTTTAACCTGGCCTCAAGGGCTGTCTTACCCCCCTCTCCCTGGCCCTGAACTCCTGGGAGGGCCTTTTTTCACGTCAATCCCTATCTGCTCCTCCTCTGATTTGCCCTTATTTGCCATTTAATCATTCACTCTAAGTAATATGACTTAACTTCTTTATAGTTGTATCTTGCCTCCCTAACTAGATTATAAAGCTCTGCTGAACAGACTCTAGTTGTGTTTATTTTTTATATGCTTCACTGCTCAGCATATATAACAGGCATGCAATAAATATTGCACTAGTGACTCACCAAACCAAAAAAAATGCCCTTTTAAATATACCCAACTACTCAGTATTATTAAGTTGAACAAGTTTAAAAGTGTTCACATTCATTTTTTTGTTCGTGTCCTTTTTTTATTGAAGTATAATTAACATACAGTGTTTTATTAGTTTCAGATGCACAACACATCAATTCGACAGTTCTGTACATCACTCCATGCTCACCACAGCAAGCATAGTAAATACCCAGGGTGCATTTGCTGGGGGTATGGTAGTCACATGTTGATTTCTTTCTTTCTTTCTTTTCTTTTCTTTTCTTTTCTTTTCTTTTCTTTTCTTTTCTTTTCTTTTCTTTTCTCTTCCTTCCTTCCTTCCTTCCTTCCTTCCTTCCTTCCTTCCTTCCTTCCTTCCTTCCTTCTTAAAGAAACTGCCAAACTCTTTTCCAAAGTGGCCATACAACAACACAATGTTATTACAGTATTATGTCAGATTCGTTTTTTGTATAATGCTTATCATTAGGACTAATAGCAAATTTGGAAAAGAGTTTTCTGTGATAGCCATGGCAACTAAATTCCTTTTCAAATCTAATTAATAATAGTATTGTAAGTTGGTGATTCTAAAAATATGTGCTTCAAATCATGTGCATCAGAACTCTATGGTGTTGGTTAAAAATGAATATCCTTGAACCTACCGTTGAATTTATACACTAATGCATTCTGATGGTTGAGCCCAGAAATCTGCATTAAAAAGAAAAGAAAGAAAAGAAAAACTCTCCTGAGCTTCTAAATTTTGAGAACCACTGGGATTGTTTCAGAAGAAATTGATACCTTCATTCAGGATATTTCTTTTTTTTTCTATTAAAAATTTTAAAGCTTTATTTATTTTTGGGAGAGAGAGAAAATGAGCAGGGGAGGGGCAAAGAGAGGGAGAAAGAGAATCCCAAGCAGGCTCCACGCTGCCAGTGTGGAGCCCAACCAAGGGCTGGAACTCAAACCGTGAGATCATGACCTGAGCTGAAATCAAGAGTCAGACATTTAACTGACTGAGCCACCCAGGTGCCCCCCTTCATTTGGGATATTTCAGGTAGACTGAAGTTCAACTTAAGTTAAAAACAGGGACAATAGACAATGAAAGTATATACTTAATAAAATTTATTATTTTTTTGAGCTTTTAAAAAACTTTTTATTTTGAAACAATTATATATTCACAGGAAAAACAGTGCTGAGAGGTCCTGTGTGCCCTTCACCCAGTTTCTCCTAATGTTCCATTTTACATTCTGCAGTGTAATAGCAAAAGCAGGGAACTGTCATTGCTATAATGTGTGTGCATAGTGCCATGTCATTTTGTAAACATGTATAGACTCCCAGAGCCACCACCCCACTGCATCAGAACACAGAACTGCTCCATCACCACAAAGATCTCTGCTGTGTGCCTCCTTTGTAGTCATGCCCGCCTCCTTCCAACTACATCACAACCACGCATCTGTTCTCTTTCGCTGTGATTTGTCATTTTGAGAATGTTGTATAAATGGAATCATGCAGTATGTGACCTTCTGAGATTGGCTTTTCTCCTTCAGCACAATTCCTTGAGACCCATCCAGGATGTTGCCTGTATCAATAGCCTTTTTATTGCTGAGCTGTATTCCATGGTGAGGATGCACGATGTTTTGTCTAACTGTTCACCTATCAAAGGACATTTGCATTGTTTACAGTTTGGGGATATTACAAGGAAAGCTTCTATGAACAATTGTGTACAAGTTTTTGTGTGGACATAAGTTTTCATTTCTCTGGAGTAAATGCCCAGGAATGCATTTGCTAGGTCATATGGTAGTTGCATGTTGATGTTGTTTTTTTTTTTTTTTTTATAAGAAACAAACTCTTTTCCAGAGTGGTCAGTCATACATGTTACATTTGCACCAGCAATGTAGGAGAGATCCAGTTTCTCTACTTCTTTGCTAGCATTTGGTATTGTCATTATTTTTTATTTTAGCTATTCAAATAGGCATATAGTGACATCTCAGCTTGGTTTTAACTTGCATTTCCCTAATGGCTCATGATGTGGAGCATCTTTTAATGTTCTTATGTGCTGTGTGGATGTGTTCTTCATTGAAATGTCTGTTCATCTAGTTTGTCCTTTTTTTAGGTGGAATTTTCATTATTGTTTTGAGAGTTCTTTATGTA